AAAGAGTTGAGGGAGCTAGCATTTGGGGGCAGGAGCTAAAAAAGATCATGAAGACAGTTCATGTAGCAGAGAGAGCAGGGAAGTGATGCCACTCATGTGGGAGTGCAGTTCCTTAAGCACCATGCCACCTGCTGGCCCTTTTAAAATTAGTTTTTAATCAGGATCTTTGTTTTCTTATTGTTGAGTTTTGAGATTTCTTTGTATATTTTAGATAATGGCCTTTTATGTGTCTTTTGAAAATATTTTCTCTCCATCAATGGACTATCTTTTCATTATCTTAACATCATCTTTTATAAAGTCAAAGTTTTTAATTTAAATGAAGTTCAACTTACCAATTCTTTTTTTAATGGATTGTACCTTTAACAATATATTTTAATTTTTGTAAAGGGTATAAGTTCTAATTCACTATTCTGAATTTTTTGCCCCTCCATGTAAACTTTAGAGTCAGTTTGTCAATATCCACAAAGTAAGTTGTTGGAATTTTCATTGGGATTACACTGAATCTATAAATCATGTTGAGAAGAACTGACAATTTTGGGTCCTTGTAACCATGAACATGGAATATCTCTCCATTTATCTATTTCTTTCATCGGAGTTTTGTGGGGACTTTTTAATATAAATCTTATAGCTATTTTGTTAGAATTAAATTTAAGTATTTCATGTTGGAATGATAATTTAAATTGTATTATGTTTATTGCTCTTATTTAGATGATATGAAATATATAATACATTATTTTTAACTATAGTTTTTCCATTCTATTATATAACATTAGAACCTGTTCCTCTTATCTAACTATAACTATATATCTGCAAACCAAAATCTCCCTGTTCCTCCATTTTCCCATATTTGTTATTATCTTCTATTTATTGCTCTCATTCTTCATACCTCTTTTTGTCTTCAATTTCTTTTCTGTTTTTTATGGTTTCTTTTTTTTAAAGATATTATTTTGCTTTAGGACACATTCACTCATCGGAGAGAGAGACAGACACAGTGAGAGGTAAAGTGAGAAATCACCCCCTGGGAGGATGACCATGCTGCAATCCTTTCTCCTCCATTCTGTTCCCAGGATCTTGGACACACACACACACACACTTGTCCAGAATGATTTTCAAGACACTTTGAGTCTGAGACTTGAGCTGCAGTCAGCCATGTGAGAGTTCAGTGACATAGCCACTACACCATCTACTGATCCGTCTTTCTTATAGTTTTAACAGAACATTTTATATTATATTATTTTATTTCTTGGTATACCAATTCAATTGTTTTACCCTTTTT